CGTGTCACCGCCTTCCTCTCACGACTTGTCTTTCTGTCTTTCAGATAGTTTCAAACAAAAGCATACCTCGAAAGCGCCCCAGAGAGGTAGCTCTCTCACCTTTTCAGACCTTTGTTTTCCTGTCCCTTTCCCTCTTCCCGGGCTCTCATTTCCTGTGACGCTCCTTCGCTTCATTCTCGGGATCGGCTTGGGAATGAGAGTGGTGGGACAGCAGCCCTCTCCCCTGCCTCACAGCCCTGAAAGTTGCCTCGACCCTCCTGTGTTCCGCAGACGACTCCCAGGGCAGCTTGGGCCCACGCACGGGGCCTGCAGCACATTCTGGGAGCCCACTGCTGACAGACCCCTCTGTTCCTTCCTCCTCCAGGCAGACCGTGGGTGGTCAGCCGCTGGTCCCCACCGTCCCGCCACCCCCGGCTTCCCATCCTCCCCCGTTCCTTCCCAGTGGGCCCCTGGCCCTCACTGCTGTCACTGCTCCAGATGACAAGATGCCCAGTGTCTCCTGAGGGTCTGCTTTCCTTGCTGGTGGCAGAGACTGGGCAGGGCACTGGCATGGGAGTGCATGTCAGCGGCTCCAGGGGCCACGTTCCCTAGCAGAATCTGTTGGCAGGTTCTACCCCGGGGCCCACCCCACCCCCCTCTGCTGCATTCAGCTCACCCGGCTGGGCTGGGCTGGGTGCCCTGGGGGAGCTTGGAGTCACTCCCTCACCTTCCTCTTCGCTGCCACATTGTAAGACAACAGCAATCCCACCCTCTTTCCTGGCCTGGGACAAAAGCCCAGACTGCCAGGAGCCCATGTGAAGGGGATGGTGATGCCCAAGGAGGGGAGGGCCCAGAGCCGGAGTGCTGTGCGGCCTGGTGCTCCTGGCTTAGAAGAGGGGCTTTTCCAGGACAGTCGATTGGAGGTTGCCCTCTGCTCAGGGGGCCTTGCAGGGAGGAGGCGACAGGAGGCTCGGCCCCTAACACCTTTCCCTCCCCCCTCTTCCGCTCCCTTAGTCTGTGGAAAGCGGTACAAGAACCGGCCAGGCCTCAGCTACCACTACGCCCACTCGCACTTGGCTGAGGAGGAGGGCGAGGACAAGGAGGACTCGCAGCCCCCCACCCCGGTTTCCCAGCGGTCCGAGGAGCAGAAGTGTAAGCTGGAGCTGGAGGGGGCCTGGTTAGGGAACCTGCCATGCTGACGGTGTTGTGGGCTCCGAGGCTCTAGCGGGCACCACCCAGCCTTTCCTCTCTCTCCCTGTAGCCAAGAAAGGCCCCGATGGGCTGGCCCTGCCCAACAACTACTGCGACTTCTGCTTGGGGGACTCGAAGATCAACAAGAAGACGGGCCAACCGGAGGAGCTGGTGTCTTGTTCTGACTGCGGCCGCTCAGGTACCTCACCCTCGGGGAGAGGTCGCCAGACACCGTCCTGGCAGTGGCTGCCACAGCCAGCCAGTGCTCCACCCCAGAGATGTAGCCGGAGGCCCTAGGCCACCTGTCTCCCGCCTTCCCTCCGCAGGGCACCCGTCCTGCCTGCAGTTCACCCCGGTGATGATGGCGGCAGTGAAGACCTACCGCTGGCAGTGCATCGAGTGCAAGTGCTGCAACATCTGTGGCACCTCCGAGAACGACGTGCGTAGCCCACAGGCAGGCCCTGAGTGGCCGGGTGGGGTGTGTCAATACATGAGGAGCGCTGGGAGACTCACGAGCCCAGTTCCTAACAGGAACTGGCTGGGTATCCACCTCAGCCGGGAGGGCCTGGGTGGCTTTTCTGAGGAGGTGAAGTTCGCGTCAGTCTTTGGGTGACGCACAGGATCCGTCCCAGACAGATCCAGGCGGGGCATGCCCATGAGGCGGGCAGGGGAGGAAGCCCGTGTCACTGCTGGACCCTTGCGGTAGGGAACACCGTGGGAGGGGAGTGAGAGGCAGCACCCCCAGACTGGAGGTGCCTTGGTCTTCCAGGTACAGTGGGAAGCTGCTGACGGGTTTCAGTTTGGGGAGTGGCCCTCTGTGGCATTTGAGCAAGGTCACCGTGGCCGCTCGGGGGAGTTGATTGTTGGGGACAAGATTGGAAGCCCGGAGATCAGGAAGTTGTGGTAGGGTCCACGTGAGAGGTGATGGTGCTTCGGGCTGGGCTGGGTTTGGACAGAAGTGGCCGCCTGCCCGGCTTGTCTCTCTCACCGAGTTGTCCTTTCTGTCTACCTCTTAAAGTAGCAGTCGTGTCTCCAGAAGCTCCTGTGTCCTCACCCCCACCTCCCAACCCCCCAGTGCCCTGGCTGAGGCACAGTGGCCACTCAGCACCCCTTCTCCCCTTTCCTTCCCCAGGACCAGCTGCTCTTCTGCGACGACTGTGACCGTGGCTACCACATGTACTGTCTTACCCCAGCCATGTCGGAGCCTCCTGAGGGTAAGCTGCCCCTGCGTCTTGTGCTCAGTGACCTGGAAGAGCGCCTGTGCGGGGCCTGCAGGGCCCGGGCCCCTGATGATGCCGGCCGTTTAGTCTTTGCCACGGCTCTGCCGGTTCAGTGTTGACTCATCATCTCCAGGCCGTCCAAGAGAGCACTGGCGTTACCCAGAGGGCTCAGCTCCGAACAGATGTCAGGGTGCATTTCCTCTCCCTTCTAGGAGGGCCTGGAACCTGGCTTTTGGATGAGGCACTTCCCTTAAACATCGCAGACAATGTGGTGAAAGCTGGCTCCTGTTCCATAGAACCATGTCCAGAGAGACACATGTGCGATTCTGTGTAGTTCATTTCAAGGCAGTAAGGGCTGGTTTTGTACCTGTGAAAGAGGTGTGCCCAGAAAGTTAAGTCCTCAGGCCTGCAAGTGAACTCGGCCCCTGGCTCAGCTTTCAGCCTGTGCGGTCCGGTGAACAGCACCAGAGAGCTGCCCCTCCTTGGAATAATGAGCCCTGCCCCCGCCCCCCCAGTCAGTGCTGACCCGGGGGTAAAGGTCAAGGTCCTAGCATGGGTCGTATAGCCTTCTCCTGGCTGTCGGACTCAGGCCCCCACCCACCCACCATGATGGTGAGGACTCCGCCCCTGCACGGGGCAGTGCTCACCGGACACCCAACTGATGAGAACCGAAAATGGGGTTTCTTGGGCGCCTCCCTACATGGCTTTATGCCACCCTTGGGGGCCATGAGAATGCTGCCTGGACCTGGCGTTACGCTGAGCCTGGAGCCGGGCTCCTCTGAGGAGGATCCTTCCGCCGCTTCCCACTCCCAGAATCGGTGGTTTAACCCACGGAGACCACCTGGGGGTGTGGCATGTGTATTTTGAAATTCCACTGCTGGTGGCCCCCCTCCCCTGCAGAGTGCCTCGTGATGACAGCTGGAGGCCAGAGGTGTGATCCCTGACAACTGTAGACCACCTTCCAGCCCACCTGTGCCTGCTCGGGCTCCGAGGGGGGGCGTGTGTGTGTGTGTGTGTGTGTGTGTCTGGGACCCATCCTTACCTCAGTGTGCTTCCCTGCAGGAAGTTGGAGCTGCCACCTGTGTCTGGACTTGTTGAAGGAGAAAGCGTCCATCTACCAGAACCAGAACTCCTCTTGATGGGACCGACCTGCTCCCCCACACTCTCGGGCTGTTTCCTCTCTCGTTTCCCCATGCCCACTGCCCACCCCCCACCCCCCACCCCTCATCTTTCGCAAGTCCAGAGAACCTCGTGCCAACCTGCCTTTGGCAGCAGCAGATGGAGTGGCAGCTCTGACCACCTCTGGCCACAGGTCCTCAGGGAGAGAGGAGCAGCCCTGGCCGGGGCGCCGCCACCGCCCGGCTCCTCGCTGCTCTCCGGAAGTGCATTCACCAGGCCTGCCTTGGGCCCAGGCCTGGCTGTCACAGGGTTTGTGGCCTCTGAGGAAGAGCGGGAGAACTGCTTGCTCTCTGGGCTCTGCCTCGTTCTGGCTGCCAGGCCCAGCCCTGCCCAGACGAAGGGCTTGTGGCTGTGGCGGCACCGATCACCACTGCTACGCCCCTGTGCTGCCTGCCCCACCTCCAGGGTCCTCTGCCCTTCCCTGCCCTGACCTGCAGGGAGCAGCAGTGTCACCCAGTGCTTTTCTGGTGTCTCATGACCGAAGCATTCCCCACCCTAAGAATTCCCTGCCTCCCCTCCTTATTCCCTTTGGTTTTGTGGGGACAGAGGAAGTATCAGGGGCCAGGCCAGTGACTTGGGGGCCACAGGGAGACAGACAGATAATGTGCCTGTTTTTTAACTCGATGTCAAAGTCTACCTCCAAAATCCCCTTTTTGTTCTTGGACCTGGGCCTTCAGCCTCCCTCCCCCTTAAGAGGGTGCCTCAGCTCCCTGCCCCATGCAGCCAGCCCGGGCCGCCACAGACAGACATAGACACCCTTCTCCCCTGGTACGCTCGCCAGCAGCCGGTAAGGTCTTCACGCCCTGGTTCCTCGGTCTCTGCTTGGTGGCCCTGACATTGAGTAGTCGGGGGACAGTCCGTTCCAGGGTCCCCTGAAGTGGCCTTCCTCCCAGGCCGCAGGCAGACCCTGCTTTACTGTCACCTTGGAGTTGAGATCTTTCCCCCTTATTTCCTTCCTGTATTCCAAACATTAGTGCAAATAAACATTTTTACACGATGGCCTCTGCTGGGTGCTTTCTCAGCCATATCCCCCCACACACACATTCTCCCAGGACCAGCCCCCCACCCCCACCCCCACCCCCAGTCACAAGTCCACATGAGCCTTGGGGCAGTACTTTCTGCAGTTCAGAACAGACACTTTTCTGCTGCTGCTGGACTCCAGTATGTACAGCAGACAGAAACTGGCTTGATTGACAATTACCATAAGGAGCAACGATGCCATTTTGATAAATAATATTTGATTGGATTGAAATCACCCTTACCCACCGTCACTGAACCGATTGCAGCTCATCGGTGATGCTGCGTGGACTTCCAGGGAGCAGATGGATGACCCCCTCCCTCAGCGCAGGTAGAGGATTCCAACCACTGCTTATTGCTGGGTTTCGGTTGATTTGATTGGAGAAAATACTGCCAGACGTAGGTTCAATAGCTGCAAGCTACGGAATAACCAATTCCCGCAGTATGACTGCGTGAAGACAAGGACACACCTAGGGTGAGGGGCATAGGAAATGACAGGACAGCCCTTGAGAGTTTTGTCCACCAGGTGCTGCCCAGTGAGTGAGTGAGAAGTGAGTGCCGTGCTCCCCTGGGGGAGCCAGGCCCTCCCGGGCTGGGCCACAGGCTGCTCTAACCAACACCAGTGCGGCCCTGCCACCTGCAGGACATTGTTCAGTGCCACTGCTGTACTGCAGGCGATCCCACCCGGTCCCCCGCCATCCTTACCACTTCACGTTTGAGCCCGCCGTGTCAGTCCATCTTGAGGGTCTTTTTGAAATGAGTACAATATCCTCCAGCGCCGATCCTCCAAAAGTGAGTTTCCCTGCATCCGATGAGAACTCTGGTTTCCTCAGGGGACTTTATTCCTTATCTCACTGCTTAAGTGTTTTGGAGTTCTTTAGCTTTTTTAAAGATAGAGTTTTGACCCAGAGATAAAAGGTTGTCTGGGGCTTTTTGGGGGCTGATTGGTCCCCGCGATGGTAGCAACAGAGACAGGGTGGTCGTGGTTATAATACACAACAAGGTTTCCGTAGTAATCAACCCGTAGTAAAGCAGTCCCGTGTGGAATTATGGCATCGGCTACTTAGCCACGGTGTCCCTAGGAATGAAATAGATGGGAAACCTAAATATTTACGTGATCTCCACAGGCAAAAGAATGGTAGATCAGGTGAACAGCAGAATAGACAGTCACGATCAATCAATTCCCAGACGTGAGCCAGTTTACAGACCCACAACCTCTTGAATGAAGGGGAGGCCCTTTGAAGGAGGACCCTGCTACATCAGCAAAGGTCTATACTGTTAGTCTCTCTTCTAGCCTTCCCCAAAGGGACCTGCGGCCTTTCACAAGAGTAACTGTTCATTGGGGGAAAGGAAATAAACTTTTCGGGGATTACTGGACACTGGCTTGGAACTACTGACACTCGTTCCAGGAGACCCCAAGTGTTTGGAAGGCCCACCAGTCAGAGTGGGGCTTATGGAGGGCACTAAGGGAAATGTCAAGCTTTCTTTGTGTCCCAGGCAGGAGGCTGTGTGTGAGGGAGAGAATAAAACCAGGAAGTCTGCATCTACCACCTCCCTCCCTAAGATGTTCCCAAAGCTCACAGCCATTGTCCGTATACACAAAACGGTAACCTAGTAGGTTCCACCGAGAAGGTCCATACTCTTCCAGGCAGCAGGTGCCAGGTTGGCAAGGGGTGGTTTGAGGTAGTTTATTGTGCCAGCCTGCCTGATAAACACGTGATTAATTGAAAGGCGGAGAGATAAATGGCTCGGCGAGCCTCGCCTTTCTTGTCTCTCTCTGATCATCGGACCAGTGTGCGGCTGCCTTGCTTGTCCTGTGCCTCAATTTGCAAGCTACACTACCCGTGGGACACCTAGCCTGTGGACTGTGTCGCTGTAATTTGAGGTTCCTTCAAGACCTGCTTGGCCACACAATTGGAATTTACATCTCTTGAGCTGGGGACTGACTGTTGGTGACCTGCCTTGCTGTTTGCTGCCTGTGCCCGGATAGCCTGAATCTACTGAGGACTACCTCAAGACTTGAAGGACTGCCAGTGTCTCACAAGTGTCTCATGAGAGTGAGTTGCACCGAGCCATTTGTACTGCTTTCTAATGTAACTGTTCAGATCTTGTGTTATATAGCTATCTGTGTAACTATATATAAAAGTTTATTAGCCATCTGGTCTTGTCTCTGTAGAGCACCCTGTCTCACACACTTGTGGTTCATTCTGTAACGGGGTCACTAGGAGAACAGTCATGGCACCAGCAGCAGGAAGAGTGGACGAATTAGGCTCATGGTCGATGGGACATCCAAGGGCCCGAAAACAAAATGCAAAAGTATGTTGTGTGCCATCCGACTTATGACCCTGGAGGACAGAGTCAACGGTGACGGACACACCTGAACACCTCTGTAGGGTTTCCTCTGCTGTGATCTTGCCAGACGCAGGTTGCCAGGTCTTCTCTCTCACAACCACCAGTGGGTTCAGACTACTGACTTTTCGGTTAACGGCTGAGTGCCTGCTTAACCATTGCACCACCAAGCTCCTATAGCAGGCACAGAAGACACAACTACACAAGTCCAACTACAGCCATGGACTCCTTGTTCTCTGCCCGACAGCAGGGTGGAACTGCCCCTGGGGGTTTCCAAGACTACACCTCCATGGAAGTAGAAAGCCTCTGCTTTTTCCTGAGGAGCGGCCGGTTCTGAACTCCTGGCCTTGTGGCAGGCAGCCGAATGCATAAGCACGGTGCCAGGTCAGAGGAAAATTGTAAAGGGTTTGCCCCGAACCCATGGTTGAGTTGGTTCCAGTGATAACGCTGTAGGACAGTGGTTCTCAGCCTTCCTCTTTCTTATACGGTTCCTCATGCAGTGGTGACCCCGCAACCATAACATGATTTTCGTTGCTACTTTGTCATTTTGCTACTGTTATGAGTCAGGCGGCCCCTATGAAAGGGTGGTTTGACCACCAAAGGGGTCGAGACCCACAGGTTGAGAACCGCTGCTATAGGACAAAGTAAAACTACCCCCCATAGGGTTTGTACGGCTAGTCTTCATGGAAGCAGACCGCCTGGCCTTTCCCCTGAGGAGCAGCTAGGGAGTTCCAGCTGCCAGCCTTTTCAGTTAGTGAGTGCTTTAACCACTGCGTCACTCAGGCTAAGCGTTTGCAGGAGGTTGGACTTTGTAGGGCAGGGAGGTGCCAGCTGGTGGGTCTGGGGTGGTGATGGGAGGAAGCCTATGAAAAAGGCAGAGAGATGCCAGCTCAGACCGGGAGCCCCAGCCCTTCAGGCAACTGAAAGGGGAGGCGGATGGCCAGCTAGACAATGGGCTAAACTCTCCTGGGGGAGGAACCGCTGGGTTAACCCCTGTTCATTTCAAAGAACGGGCCGGCCTAGGCAAGGGCTGAATGTTAGCAAGGCAGGGCATGATGGCATCTGTTGAGTTCAGGAGCTGGACTCTTGCAAACGGGCGGCACCAAAACAAATGGAAATTCATCCTCGAACTGGACGGGCTGGCAGAGGTGAGGTCAGCGCTGTCCATGGTAAAGGGCTCAAGCTTGCATCCATTTTCTCCTTTCGCCAGGTGTCTCAAAACCACTCGGAGAAAGGGCTCAGGGCTGTTTCAGGGAGCGGAGACGTCGAGAGTCACGGTCAGGAAGGTCTGGGACACCCGGTCTGCCCTCCGGTCCCGACGCCGCCGTCCGAGGGCTCCTCAGGCCCAGGGTCGGGACGGCGGCCAGCAGGCTCCGCCTCCCGCGCCAAAGCTCCGCCCCCCGAGAGCACGCCGAACCGCCATTCCTTAACGTCCAATGAGAGTTAGGCAGGGGCGGGACCGGACACAATGAAAGCCTATCGGATCGGGGCTGGGCGGGGCTGCGCTGGCTGGCGCGGAGGGGCAGCTCAGCAGGCTCCGC